GGGGCATTACAGGAAGAACATGCATTGCCCTGTTGTAGCCTTTAAGTACCTCAATACTCTGGTTGCTACTTGATGGTGACTTACAGTCGGTTTAGCAAGGAATTGACTGAGCACTTGGACGGAGTAGGCTAAGTCAAGCCGTGTGATGGTTAAATATAGTAACCTGCCAACAAGTCTTCAATAGTTTAAAGGATCCTCGTATAAATTTGTATCAGTGGATTCTATGGGAAAAGCAATTGGTCTTGATTCAGTTAAAATGTGTCTTCAAGGATATCAAGTGCATATTTCTGTTGGCACAAAGAGATGCCACTTTTGGACCATGCAACTTCTATACTAAGAAAATATTTCAACTGCTCTAGGTCTTTGATGGTGAACTTGTCATGTAAAAATATTTTTAACGTTTGAATTTCAAACATACTATCACTGGTTAATATCACATCATCCACATAGATTCACAATGCAATAAAGAAACAATCAGATTTCTTGATGAATAATGAACAATCAGAGTTTCCTTGCACAAAACCATAGTCGATAAGTGCATTGGACAGCTTGGTAAACCACTGGCGAGAGGCTTGCTTCAAACCATAGAGGCTATTCAGTAACTTGCAAACCTTTCCAACTTCAGTAGTCAATCCAGGGGTAATTCCATGTATACCTCTTCACATAAATCTCCTTGTAAAAATGTATTATTCACATCTAGTTGATGAAAATGTCATTTCTTGATTGCAGCTGTAGCAAGTAGGAGTCGAATATAAGTGATTTTTGCTATAGGAGAAAATGTATCAAAGAAATTCAAACCTTCTTGTTGAGTATACCATTTTGCCACCAATCTAGCTTTATGTCTTTCAATGGTTCCATCAGCTTTGTATTTAATTTTAAAAACCCATTTACAACAAATGGCTACTTTGTTTTTAGGAAGAGTAACAAGCTCCTAAGTTTTATTTGACTCCAAAGCCTTAATTTCATTTTTCATAGCAGCTTGCCATTTAGGTATTTGTGCGGCTTGTTTACATGTTTTAGGTTCTGATGAGTTTGAGATAGATGCT